ATCAAATCAAATCAAATCAAATCTTCTCACCTACAGACGGCTCCTCCCTCCGCATGCGGGCAATGATAATGCTTGGAACATCAGTGCTGTCAGCATACCGCCAGTTCTCCATCTCGGCCCGATCGATTTTGATATGTTCGTAAAGGGGGTTATTCTTTTGAAGCCATACGAGGGCGGCAGTGACCCGAGATTTGCGTACTTGAAGTAGATGTGCAACATCTGCGGGGCCTGGCTCGCTCGAGCCGCTCCATGAGACGTGAATATTCTCGATGGCTTGCAGAAGAGGGTGAGGGAGAACCGTCGCAACAAAGTCCTCAACCTTGTTTGGAAAGACAACAATATGTCCCTTTACGTGCCTGCGGTATCTAATTCCCGAGGGAGTCTTATTGTCAACAGAGAACTTTGTAATATAGCCGAAAGGGGTATGGAGAGCAATCAGCCTCTCTTCGATGGGAGAGAGGGCATCAAGTTCTCCAGGGTAACGATGTTCACATCCAATGTCCATGTTATTGACCGAGCAGGTCTTTGGTAGCCTTCCGTCTTCCAAGCTGGTGCGGCACTCGAAGCACACATTAACCTCGACTCCGGGCTGCTGTGGAAGGCATTTTCTACACTGCTGGAGACTTTCAGTGGCGTCCATTAGAAATGGTGTGAGTAATATCTTCCACGGGATGGCAGTAAGTTTGCGGGGTGCTTGCATCTTATAGCAAAAGACGCAGTGAGAAACCTGTAGCGTATTGGCGTCCGAAAACGCCTCGCAGAACGACTTGGCAGCCTCTACCTGGAGGTTAAGAGAGTCCTCGTTGCACCAGGACCTTGTTACTGATGCCCGTTCCTTATCACGGAAGCGCGCTTCACGATGCTGTAAAATACGGTGGATAGACTGTCGCTGGTGTTGGACTACTTCCTCCATGGGCCGTAACCGCTTCCGTTGTGTGGGCTCTCCATGAGGCTTACGGCGCTTTGAGGATGATGATCCCATTCCCAGCGCTCGGTCTTCGGCGTGCTGGCGGTCTAGCTGCCGCATCACACGGAGGATCTCATCATGAGGAACTCTAATACACCTCTGCTCACGCTGGGCTGCTCGCTGAGCGGCTCGCTGAGAATCCAGACTTTCCAAGATGCGACGGATTTCATGAAGTGGAACTCGAACAACTGGCCCTGCGTCCATGGTAATAAGAGAAGCCTTATGGGCGCAACGCCAAAGTTTGGCAAGATGTCTATTGCTCGGATCTAGGACCGGGAAAGAGTCATAGAGACTTCGAGTCAAGTCTCTGCAATGATTATGGAGAATGCCACTGGCTGGCAACTTCGCGGTACATGGATAGAGAGCAAGCCAATCCGTGGATGTTGTCAACCGGGCCGTTGACAACGGCTACGAATACGAGGGCTGAATCCGGCTGCAGATATCAAAAGGATACACATCTGCTGCAGCACAAAAGCAACGATTAATAATGCTAACAAGTTTTCTTGCAGTAATCGAAAGCATTCACGTTCGTGTGATTCCACTCTTTATGTAGGAAATCAAGAGTCTCTCACTCTTTGCCCGATGCACAGGGGATATTCCACACGATCGTTGTCCAGCCATCGAAGCAATCGAGTTGTGTGATAGAGGGATTTGATTGAGCCTTTGGAGAAAGGACCCTACGTCAACCGCCGACAGCAATGGTTACCTGGAGCGAGAGAAGAAGGAAAGGGGAAAAGAAAAATAATCGACACCGGTGCGTGCGACTGGACCACGTTGTCAGTTGCGACGTCATAGCCCACGAGGACAGCCAAATGAGATGTGCAAGGAGCGGTGTGTAGCCGTAGTACGGAGGGTGTGGCTTGAATTGTACAAAAAAAGCAAAGGCAAAGGCACACCTGTGGCACGGCTAGTGGCGTAGTGTAGAGCGCGGAAGAAAGAACCTTTCGTTCCTCAAGGCATTGTCCACTCAGCCAGTCACAGACCTTTTGAGGAAAAAATTTACTCTCCATTGCCTCCAGTACCTAATTCCATCCCGTCCGTCGCGGCTTTGTGAGAGCCCATCACCATCCCACGTAATAAACGCGAGAGCCGCCAACCGATTACGTGCAAAGTTGCGGCCATGAAAGATGACGAAAGAGGGCAGACCAATGTGTTTGCTTGCCCTACGTATTTACAATCCAACAAACTTCCGCCCTGCATCGCCCTGCTCACCATCCCGCAGTCAGTCGTGGCATCTGGGCCTTCGCAGATCTCGTAGTCCTGGACAAACTTATGAACCGCATTACATGTGACATCGGACCCTCCGGTAATCCTCTGCCAACGCATGTATTCGACTTTGTGGTGAGTTCGCCAACCGGAGGAGAGTAAGAACGTCCAGTATATTGTTGCCCACGTTTGTCCCCTAGCTTATCCAGCCGAATGCCACAGTTTCAGTGCCGTACAACTTGGCCATTTGGGCCAAAGAGTATCGGAAGTTAAAAAGGCATATGCAGGTATTGTGGCCGAAAGCGTTTCCTTTCCGAGAGACCCAGAAAAGGCCAAATTCGACCCCCGGAGACTGGAAGAGAGCGTAGCGATGCTCCTAGAGAGAACTTGCAGTCGAGGTCATCAAAAGTTGCTGAGCGGAAAGGGTAATTGCCATATCAATACGTAAGTATGCAATTCAATAATAAACAACCACTCCCTCCCTCTTGGCCGAATCTTCGGCTTACTTCTTGCTAGGGCCGTCCGGTCAATTGCCAAGCAGCCCACCAAAACGGGCCACCGTGAGGCTGATCTGATCAATCACATCTTGGACGAGGCAGTCCGCCTCTTCCCCGAGCGTGAGATTGCCTGTCTTGTTTGCATTGGAACAGATGGCGCGCCATTCCCAGACGCGGCGAAGTATTTGACTGCGAAAGCGGCCATGGTGCTCAAGAGACTCCAAGCGGACGGTCTGTACTTTCGATTCGCTTTTGATGATGACGGTGTTCTCCAAAATATTGCACCAGGAGAATGGGAGAAGCAAGTG